GTAGGTTTGCTTATTCTCTGTATAATATGAATTCGAACTAATACTAAAATTACAATTTTAGCATAAATTTAGTCGACGCTTAACCTTGTTTATTAATACTCGTAGGAATAGCACTGAGAGTGCATTAAAATATGATTTTACTCAATCCAGTTGAATATTGTTTAGAGCTTTATACCGAACACGTTCTGTCCTTAGTTAGACTGGAACGAGTCGTTAAGGGTTACGGTCATCACAATTTAGATTTCTTGCTAATTTTATTGAACGTGGCGTAATATAATATTATATAATTATAGTTCTCGTACGTTTATGACTCGGTGCCTTATCATATCTATTTGTAAGTGTAAATAATAGGTGTAAGTATTTATAAAGTGCGTTAAGTCGTTGAGCGGCCGCCGCCGGCGGTGGTGGTGTCCAACGCGCAGTATTACATAGGTACCTATGACTATATACGTGTCTAAACAAAAGTATTCACATGTCAAAATTACTTAGTAAATAGACGGCAAACAACATACATCACCGCGTGTACCTTTATCTGTGTACTTCATGATGATATTTTTAACTTAGCAGACGTGAAGACTTATCTTCACGTCGTTACCTTACGAAGGTGTAATCTATGTCTTGTCGTGTCTTGGTCGCGTTTCAGTTTTAAAAATATGTATAAGTTGCGAATATTAGATGAGCCAGCCGTTGTCGATAGAGAAAATGAAGAAATAAGAAATTAAGTTTTACTCGCAAAGATTTGTATGTATACTAAGCTAGACAAGCTGAATAGTACTGGTAACGAATTCCGCCATTTTGACCGCCTTTTGCAATCTAGAGTTCATCTCACGAAAGAAGTCCCTCGGATCACAATATTTTCGCTTATATTACAAAGGAAAGTAGACTTTTTAAGCATTTTTTATTAAGAAAGGAACAAGACTGATGCTGCGGCACCTCTTTCGCGAGACACTTTTTATATTGAATTTCAGTCTGTCGACACTACTGCAAGTGACGTGCGATCAATTTTTTAAAACAGCTCGTCTAGACGTATAGCTCGTCAAGAGGCTTTGATGGCTTATTTAGCAATACATAATTGTATGATAGACGTTAACTTTGAACCTAATAGTTTTTCACCATGATGTACCAGATACAAGAGAGTATGAAAAAAAAAATATTAAGATTTTATCATACATAATTATTGTTTGGAACAATTCATCAAAATTATATTATTTAACGTTCTATGGATAATATACAAACTGAATTATATTAAATAAGCCATGTAGGTGTGTGTCGAGAGTGTATGTTTGAGTGTGCATGTATAGAGCGCGGTCGGTAGATGCGCGCGCGCAGATATTGAAAAAAAAATCTGTTACCAATTCGTGCACACCACAGCGGAGATAATCCGCAATACCATTCCCTCGTACCGCAATAGTAGATAATTACAACGTTACACAGCTGATTTAAATTATATATATATACCTATGGTTAGGAGATGGTGGTCTATACGACGGTGGGCCACGACAGAGTGCAACGAGGAGCATCCGCCGACTCGTGCTCGTCAGATGTGTAATTAGAAACAAATACGACTATGAGCTTGCCAACATGAGTCTGACGTCCTTATAATATTATATTCTAAAAGAAATCTATCAATCGTGTATTTTAGATGAAAGAATTAAGGTACAAATAAATAAGTCTATGATATTTCAAAACAATTGTTTTATTTCAGCACATGAATCCCGTACACAAAATAAGTTCATTCTGGAATGTAATGCAAGGGTGGGGGAGGTCGTCGACCTCGCGCGAAATTACTAGAAAGTCTCTTAAAACGTTTCTAACCAAAAACTTGTAAATTGACCCGGTTCACAAAAATAACGCTGCATTAAAATATACATCAAATCGATGGTGCTCGAGTTCTCGAGTTCCGACGACCTCCGGATCAAATCAATATATTATTTAAAACATTACAACCCGATTCCATATTACCTATATTGTAGCTATAGGAAATTTAGATATACACAGCATCGAACCGCGCACTTGAAACATAAAAATTATGAAACACATCAGATTTATTTAAAGCAGTTCCAGTGTTAATATGCCAGACGCTACTGGCGTCATCCGCCAGTGCCAACCACGACCGAACGTTAACGCGTTAGGTACACGTGTAACATCTATATACATACAACATTAGTCGCCGTGTCGACGCGTACATACATCACATAACTACATTGTCTACGGGCTACAACTTTACTACTATAGTTCTCTCTCTTCTGCGTGTAACAAGTATCTTTAATATGTATAATTTGAGAGTATTATATTTATATAATAATAATTACATTAAATAGGAAGAAGTTCATTATATGTAACTAACTAGTATAACAACATCGAAGGTCCCGTTAATAGACATTACAATATACACGTAGACATTTATGAAATGCTTCGTTGGTTATATATCACATCGCGGGGTGGAGGCGGCGGCGTGCACTCTGGCCTTACTTTACCAGTAAAATGTGGGGGAAATTTTGTAAAACACGACTGATATCGCTGGCCGATGCGCCTGCGCAGGAGTCTAACCTCCAGTCGCACGACCGTCCATTAACGTTTAATGACTCCAATGAATACTTGTATAGGTAAAGTCGGTCATAATCTTTTCGTCCGCATCTGGCCGAGGGCACGTCGCCGTCTGTTTATTTATATATATCTAAGTTGTAAACATCGACAAACTGCAACTATCCATGCACTAACGTTCCGTACTAATGATTTGAAACATTTACAAAAATACAACAATTTTGTATCGATTTCGATTTTGTGAATAAAACACGATGGCAGTACAGAGACAGACGCAGGGTCGAACCCGGTAAACTATAGAAAAATTTGGCAACAATCATTTATAATTCATATAATTTTTTTGATCTCACATAAATACGAAAGATATTTATATAAATAGTCTTAACGAGATACATATAATTTTTATCGAAACACCACGTAACAGGGTACACAAATAACTCTATCGATTCATATAGGTACTTATATATACGTAGGTAGTAAGCGTAAATAAATGAACAGAAGCGTGGCAGTAGACGGTCGCTCAGATCGCACAACATCGAGATTTCAATAGAAAACTTATATTAAAACATGTAAAAATATCAAAAACTTACATCTTTATAATTATTAAACTAGTGCTAGAATATACGAAGGCAACGTGCAGCACAGTACAGCCCCTCGCACGCCTACACTCGGGCCCCTACACTCGGGGCCCCTACACTCGGGACCCTACACTCGGACCCCTACACTCGGGGTCGCGTCACGTTCATAAAATATTTTTCATGAATATAAACGCTATTCTAGTAAAATATAAAACTATTGAGTTACCTATTTGAAAATTTTCTTCCGTTTAGTCTAGCTTATACTTCTTAAAGACGCGCATCGTTCTCGGCCCCAAAGGACGTGATTAATTCTTTGTGGTAATACTTTTTAATCACTTACGAAAGAAGATATTTTCTTGGATATTTATTGAAGCAGGACAATTAAATACATGGTGTATAAGGGGGCGTCCATAAATTACGTGAGGTGTTTTTGTACAATTTTCATGTCCCTCCCTCCCCCTCTGGTCAGATGCCGTCACATTTTATTCAACCCCCTCCCCCATCCCCCAATCTCACGTGAGATTTTTCAAAAGGCAATTTGATGAGTACTTGCGAGTTATTCATGTCCTTGATTGTAGTATCGAGTACTCAGTTTCGAGTATCAGCTTTTGAAAGTATCGATACCTACTCGGTATCGAAAGTATCGCCTCGAGCCCTACAAATATGGTGGTTTGACATGCAGTAGATGTATCCCGTCGATGTTTGAAATGAAAAGTTATTTTCTTTCGACACGAATTAGTGAATGATCTTACTCGTCTACGATTACGCTGACGATTGCCAAATCTTACAGCAATGTACAATCGAGATGTCCAAAGTGGACCAAAATTTGTATTGTTTTTTTATGTTTCAATCAGTAATAAAATTGCGTGTTATGTTGCCGAGTACCCCCCCCCTCTCTCCTACGTATGATTAGATGAGATTGGCCTCGACCCCCTCCCCCCCTTAGAACATCTCTCGGAATTTATGGTCGCCCCCTAATCATCAACATTCGATGTACAAGTTCATGAAAAACCGTGGCATGTATCAACCGACACATTTATAAAGCGTTTTCATTGAAAATAACTAGTTTACATTAGACATAGATGGAAGTTTATCACCGACACAATCATAAACTCAATCATGAGCGGATCACTAAAATAATGTATGCAAATTTCACCTCACCCATCCGTCGCGCGTCGCGCGTCACGTGGGCGGACGTCTCGTAACGTAAATATTTAAATTAACTAACTAACTAACAACGAGTTATGTAACTCGGTGAGTGACGACCGCACCGGTCGGTTTGAGAACACAGCCTCCCGACTACACGCTTTTATATCGTTCCAGAACCATCGCCAATGTGGCCTTTTCCGTATTTTCAGTCATATCTATTTTTTTAATAAACTTGTAAAATATTATGCAGGCTTTCTTAACACACAACACGAAGCTTTTGCAGTCCACGTATAGTTTAGTTATTAACACTTTTATAATTGAGCACATTTTATACTTATACGTCGACAGACAACGAGAAGGCAAACGAGGCAGTTAGATAAACTATAATATTAAAGCGAACATGTCACACCCGACAGTGTACCTATAGATATACTAATTTATATTATAAGAAACGAGCATATATCAATTTTAACATTCAGTACAACAAACAGGCTCGCGGACAGGTCGTGTACGTAAGAAAACGCAACAAGTCGAGCAGGAGCTCCACTTTATTATACAGGCGGGCACACCGCATAATACCACTATAAATAAACCACTCGACGTGGTTTCGAACGGTCGTCGACCGGCTATCGATCGATCGATCAAAATACGGTTTCAAACGGAACACGACATAAACGTGCGCTCATAGAGTATTTTTACAAGGAAGGTCGGTCCCGAACACAGTGAAACTTGAAAACGCGCCCCGACACTCGCATCACAGCGTAGCGTTATATAGTCTGAACAGCGGCAGGAGGCACATGGCCGCGGTGCAGGCGGAGGCGGGGGCGGGCGCGGGGGCGGGGGCGGGCGCGGGCGCGTGCTAGTCGCGCGCTATGGGCGTGCTGCACGCGGCGGAGGGCGCGCGGCGCTCGAGCGGGGAGCGCGGGGGGCTCGAGCCCGCGCTCGCACTCGCGCCCGCCTCCGCCTCCGCGCCCGCGCCCGCCCCCGCCCCCGTGCCCGTGCCCGCTCCCTCCACCACTATGGGACTGGGCTCACACATAGACGCGAACACCGTGGAGGACGACACCTCGCGCACGCACCGACGCTGCTCCGCTGCAAAACGATTGACATTTGTGAGATAACTATTTGAAATAAAACATGATGTTTTCAATAAATAAATGATAATTATTTAAATATTTACAAAGACATTCATGCAAGAAGGAGCATTTGGAGGCGGTATAAACTAACTTAAGCGTACCCTGTTCTTTTACCCGGTAACTATGGTCCTTATAAATTGCTCACCTCCTCCACGAGGAACTTAATTAGCTAACAATTTATAAAAATACTAACTTTCCGACAGACCTCAGCGTACAGACAGCGGGAAGCGATTTTGTTTTATATTATGTATAGATATGTAACAAACCATACATCGCTTGGAGCACAAACTGAATAGTTTAAGGAACAAGTAATAAATTTATTCCTGTAATTTGTACAATAAAACTTCAAGTGTAACAACATGACTGACAATGATAATAACTAACTAACGATTACTCGACAAAATTATTCCAACGAAGGCAACGGAAACAAAAACAAGAACCGAAAGAAAAATCTAAGGTCAGTACTAATAGGTGTAAATAATCACAGAGTATCGGCGTGGGAGATACGTGACCGACACACAACGACACACTTGCGACTGCAGCCTTACGCCATTAGTGAAATAACATTAATATGCATGGTATTTTTTACATCAATATTCCGTTTTTAATTTAAGTTAAAACGAGGACCCAGCGTCAGTCAGCGTATTGTGCATTCATAAAGTTTATACGGATAAGAAGAGAGCTCTCTGTTATGTGTAACTCTATGCCAAGAAATAGGATTTGGGATGTGTAAGAAGTGAAGGTGATGGACAACTCTCGTCTTCAATATTCGTAATGTTTTGTTGTTACCTCTTTCTAATATAAATACTTAGAGTTATTATCAATAATCCATTAGAATCTATTTGTATTGAAATTCCTTTTTAACTTAAATTTAACAAATGTATCAAAATACTATTAATAATCGAGATTTATCTCAACTTTATTCAATAAACGAAAGAAAGGTCGGTTTGATTAATTACTTTCGATAAAACTTGATATGCTATTTGATAATGGTACTTAACCTTTATTGTCTATAAAATTAAAGATCTATTGATTGCAAATGTTACAATGAAATTCTTAACAACTACTTTAAACAAGGCAAAAAGTATTTATCATCTGCGCTCAATAATCAGAAATGTTTAGAGTAAAATATATAGTTCGCGCGTGATACTAAGTAAAGTTTCAGGAAAATTCAATGGATAAGTCGGTTTTTAGAGTGAAATGTGATATATATATAAATATAATATGTGCGTGGTGCGGCTGGGTTAGGTATGTACGGTAAGTGGGTACTGACTGACCGATCATATTGTGCAGGTTGTCTATGACCACCTCCGTGTGCGTGGTGGCGTCCACGGCGCGCTGCAGGAACGACGTCCACGCGCTCAGCTCCGCCTCCTGGCGACAACACACACGACACGACCGTTATAATATTTATTTGGCTATACACAAACAATTACTCAACAAATGCGCTGTTGCTTCGTAAAGAAGAACACCTTCTCACACAAAAAAAAATCAATTATATTATAAAGATATTAATGATTAAGAGAAATAAAAATTAAAGAAAATAGGAAATCTCTCGAAGTTTCCCCCTCTGACAACACTAAAGTACAAACACTATAAATGCATGAAGAATTGCAAAAATCATCCTCTATTACTCCAAACCTTAGCTATAGACCGGGTAGACCTTCTTTATAATCAAACTGTTACCCGGGACTATGCGGTATGGGAAAAATAATTCAAAGTCACTCTTCTGCCTCCCTGTTATCTTATCATTAACACATAAAAAATCATACCACAATGAAGTATCATAAAAAAACACACGTTCAGCCAGTTGCACGTCGTCGTCGTCCATTAAAATTGTACATACGAATTCGACATTCATTAGTGCTTAAAGGCGTCATTAAACCTTAACGAACGTTAGTGCAACTAACCGTTTACCAATTATAATATTTGTACGTAAATAAGTATGCTGTTAAGGAAGTGGAAGATTATTATGAATAGAAAAACGCCTTATGACAATGTTGCACGTTTGTCGGGTCGTGATGGATGAGTAATGCGCCGGTAACCGATACCCCGCGCGGTGCACCCCGGGAAGCCGTACCCGCATCACACCGCACACGTACGTACACGTATTACATGTCACGGTTTCGGACACACCGTCACCTGTGGCAGAACATGGCTCACTGCACCTGGGTGGGTGTTAGGCGCGTACAATATTCTGCTTATTATATTTCATCAATTCTGCATTCCCATGCTACACTGAAAAATGTTTCATAAATCCACTTCGTCCCTGGCACTCTGAGATAGGACAAAGTGGATTTAACATTTTTTTATTAAAAATAATATTCTTCTTGTCAGTATACTTCATGGTTGCAATAAAAGGCATTAGTTCTTGGTCTTTCCATTATGCTGTTAGTTTAGATGCTGTGCGAGGTCTGACCATTTGGCTGCCTGTTCGTGGTATTTAGACTTCATCTGTCGTCTCATCGTATCTATGGCGTACGTGTCGTTCTACTTGATCAACTAAAATTATTCTTATTGTTTGCAAATATTTAAATTAGCTTAAAAAACTATTCAAGCTGGCTCCTTGGAGTAAACCTTATTATAAAGATGCTAATTACTCGTATCGGTATTACTGGTGAGGGAAACTATAAAAACTGGCGGACCTGTATGGAAAGATCAATAAACATAAAGAAACCGAGATGAACAAGCCTTGTGGTGGCGTCCGTCTGCTCCACAAAATATCTAGTATTTATTCTAATAACTATCTGATAGACGGCTTTTAAGTCACTTCTCAAAAGTTGATATAATTAAGGAGCAAAAACACAAAACTTTTTCTTTACTACTTAGTACTTACTTTAGGAATGGGACCCGTTACGGGTTAGAGATATTATAGCCCACAGCGTGAAACTGTTGTTTACTCGATGACAAAGGCCGGAGAATCGCGTTATACTGTAACTTATTTCGATATTTGATTTATGCGTGTTTTATATGTTTATATAGTATATATTTAATATGTAATTGTATGTGCCTTGCGTATGGATCGGCAGACATCGGGCGGGCACGTGCGATGCGTACTCGCACCTATTTATAGAGATGACGGTCAGGGCCGCGCGGTCGCTGCACCGACCGGCCGGTCGCTCTCTACTATATCCCGCGCGGGCGTGCGGCCGCAATCAGCGGACCCTCTCCCGACCTCTATCACTACACCGGCCCAGGCGGTTATAGCGGTGACGTAGCGCGATGCGCTCACACAAATATCGACGCTGACCTCCTCGCCCAGAAACGCGGGTGACCTATGACCACAATGAATGATCCGTGGGATAACTCTTAATAGCTATATTTGCGGTGGATGAGGAACGTGCTATAAGGACAGTAACACTACATAATTAATGTACGTGTGACTCGTGTCGAGAAGCAAGTAAGAAGAATACACAATGTACGTCAGCCATATGGTATCACGATTGAATACAACTACTAGAGTTACCTTCGCAGTTACTAATAAATGAAAGTTAAATTCTAAGAAGTTGACATACTATTACGAAGCAGTTTGAATCATCAACGATAAATATTGATAATCAAAAGCCACACAAAAAAGATCATGACTTAAATATAAAGGCAACGTGTGAGAACTATTGAAAAAACCAAGGTTTAAATGACTAACGGAACTTGAATTCAAATAACTTTTTATAAACACATGTTACTTTCTTTGTGACATGGACATAATTTGGACTACACAAGAACTATAACCAAACGATGTTAGAACATCTTCGATTGTCCTTTCAAACATTTCGAAGGATATGGAACAGTCATCTCGATTTACCAAGTGTTTTTTACACGCGAGTACGCGGGAAGCGCGGATAGTTTTTATGCACAGCTCGTGCGACTACCCGCAGAGAAGTTTCGTGTTTCAGTAACTGTACGGGGAATACACCTTATTGATGAGATAGTTATAATAAAAGTCACTTGTGGGCAATAATAATAAAAGGTATATATTTTATTTTGTCACTGTAGTAACAAGGTTCTTAAACTTATTTTAACACTGAGTCTCTTTATACTAATAAAATTATAGAAAAGGAAATTATAACTATGGTGAAATAATGGTAGTAGAAAGTATGGTAAAATGGTATGAGTGAGTACGCGCGATTGGTATGGCGATCGGAAAAACACTAACTTTTACTTCAATATTAGATACATTGCGAAACATAATTTAAAATAATTATGAATTAAGTAGCAAGCGAATATTGCTGACGCGCGTTACCTACTTATTACAGTTCAATGTGCGGTCGGGACCGTACAGTAACAGTAGATTAACACTACATGTACCTGATAATAACATATGACGTACAAGTAAGTACACAGACAGTTATACGAGTTTATCACTAAAAAAAAAAGTCCTAAAATGTGCGGCGGTTCAAAGCCATTAAAGTAATTTGCTACAGTGAAGTACTGATCTCTGTAAGGCGACTTTTGTTATAATATACATACGATCTCTAGTCGGGGCGCCTTCACCCACGCTGCGGTCGTTACTATGGTGACAAGAGTCGCGATGCAGCAATCAACCCACGGGCCAACGTTCGCTAACTTTTCACTATTTCCTTTACCAACGATCTTATTAACAAAAAAAATACAACAATCCCCTCTAACTCACGCAACTACAATGCCCATTGATAAAATTTCTTCGCGTTATAAACATCACACGGGGGCGTCGTCCTGGTTGGCTATGAACATGATGCTTGTATAAGTAAACAATGAGATTTCTAAATGAAATACAAATTTCTCTTCATTTTCCTAAGATTCGTCTAACTATTTGTGGGATTTCTTTTCCAATGTCATATGCATGTTGCAATTTTCACGGAAATATTGCCAGGTGGCTAACACAAGCATTCATACTAGACAACAAGCTCGTATGAACGGTATGATCCAATTAAGAGAGACCTATTCCATCCCGCCAATCATCTGTACATCCAAGATGTGACTGTCATCACCAGCCTATTAATCCCCCCGCCCCCATTTCTGGAGATTAGGCCTTCCTATGGATGGAATCGAATCCAATCTGGGGAAATGTGCCTATAAACAAAATAAATTATGGACGCAGACAGAATATCAATCATCGCGTTGGCTTTCCTTTCTCCTCGAGATTAATATTAATTAATAATTAGTCATACAACATAAACGTTATGTAGGACACACACACACACACACACACATACACATCAAATATTCATAAAGTATTATTAATCATTCATCACAGAATTTGAATTAGAGATGTGCCGATTATTCGGTGTATTCGGCATTTTTTTTTTGCACTGTTTGTATTCGACAGAATTATTCGGTTTGGTGCCAAATATATTAAGTTCGAGTATTTCTATTTTCTTGGCTATACAACACTTTATAGCAGAAAACTTCATATGTAAGATTTGTTATATTACAAGTCAAATAAATCCTATGAAGAATAAATTCAATAAAGCTAATAAAATAAAGAGATTAAATTTCAAATCAACATTTGTTTTAAACAGTCGTGTAAACAGCGATACATAGTGAAATGGTAAACCAGTTCGGTAAAGGTTAAACCGAATAGTACTCGGTATTCAGACATTCGGCGAAACCACCTTTTGGCGGCTCTCTAATTTGAATAATGTAGGCGTCTTGATAATGATAAACACAAACATGGCGGCGTAGGTGGACTCTGAGCGAGTAACGACAACGAAAGTTAACATTGAACAAAAACACATTTCTATTCATCGGTTAACATTTATTTTCTAGACGCTAATACGACCCCAAAAAACGGCACGTGGTTTTTCATTAGTGTATGTTAAAACGAAAATAGTTCGTGATGCTGTCTGTGATACCTCTTGGACTATTCATTCAATTCACTCGACAGAATTAAGTAATAACAAATATAGTTGAAACATAAGAAAGTTATTTAAAACTGGCTTTCCGTCAGCGGCTAACGTTAAGTAATGTCCTTTGATAATGTCTGTGGTTGTCAATTTGTATATATTTAAGATCGCTAGATGGCGATGACGTTTATGTGCCTATATATGTGATACATTACATATAATTCTAAATCGCGTATGTAAGTTATTTTATCAAAGACTTATATACTCTAACGATAATTTGAATAAATAACCTTTGCCATAGAACCTTGTGTTTTATTGCATTTTTGACTTTTTGGGATTTTTACAGGTTAAAAATATATATATTTAGTCAGTCAGCCAGATAATAGAAAATATAGGATACATATATTTTTTTGCTTCAATTTAAACAAGAAATGGCTTAGATGATATTCATTGAAGTTAAGGAGGGGGGCTCACTGCGTCACAGTTTTGTAAAAAATGTACAAAGTTTGACGTCATGCGACATTCCGACTCAATCTGTCGCTGTAATTTATT